TTTGTCACTTACTGTTAAATAACTGGGGCTTGAAATCTGGGACTTGGCTGTCTTTTGCAAACAATACAGAGATCTACCAATAAATATAAATCTTTCTTTCGCTCACTCCTTGTTTAGAGCCACTAGTAGAAGGATTCATACTAAGTTACACTGGGTCATGTTTAGCGATGGGATCTGACCAGTATAACTACTGGTTCTGTTGCTCTGTGTTGCACGTGCGAGTCTCACTAGTCCTGCAAGTGCAATTTACGACCTGCTGAGCTACCCAGACAGCTGAGCCGCGCTGCGTGCAAGTGCGCAGCAGTTGGAAAAGCCCTTTTTCAACCGCAGCTGTGTCACGCAAAGCAGCTGCGGTTGAAAAAGCAGGAAATAAAGGTCAGGTAAGAGCCCGGGCGGGCGGGTGGGCCAAAACAGCAGCAGACATAGAACCGGTTCTATGTATGCTCTCTGTTTGCTGCTGTTCAGAACTACTGGTTCTACAAAGGTGGACAGAACCGGTAGAATCCCACCCCGGTCATGTTCTTATCAACCATGAGTCTGAAACTGAGTCCCCAAAAACCTCTGTTGAAAAGGATGTGGGTTTTTTTTTTTACAAATTGGTTGGTTCTTAACATATAGTATATTAGAATATCGAATATATCCCTCTGATTTTTCTTTTGAAGAATCTGATGTATAATATACAAGCTTTATTATTTTCATTATTGTGTTTGTCATTAAAGTACATTTGTTTTATAATTAAAAATATTGGTGCTTTTTAAACTTCCAGGAAGCTTTATAACTCATGAATTTCTTCACAGAATTAACTTGTAGTTGAGATCCATAGTATTTATTTCTATAAGAATAGGTATAAATGCAGTTGTAGTAATAACCATTTATTAACACTATTTTCTATGGAATATTAAGCCTGATTTTTCTGGTGACCTATAGATCTATTGATTCATAAGCTCAGCCTTATATTCTTTTCTCAATGCAAGGGCTGGATTACAGTAAAAGAAAGAATAAACTGAAATGTCAGTGAGTAGGTGCAAGCTATATTTTTCTTACTCATTGAAGAAATGAGGAGATACCTCTCCCCACATTGTTGAAAACAAGGTAAATTTATTCCAGAATCCAAAGATACTCCTGCAGTTACACAATGTATGTTAATTTAAAAATAGATGCTGATACATTCAGTAGTATAACAAGACCAGTGTAGAAACCAGTAAAATACTCTTACATGAATCTTCACATTAGATTGATATTTAGTTCAATAGATGGTAGGGTTTTGACTAGGCATTTTACATTGCTTATTTTGTGGAATGGAGTGGTTTAGTAGTGTTTTTAATTTTGATTGGAGACCAGTTTATTTTATTTCTCAGGCTTTATTAGATATCTATAAGAAATAAACCTTCCAACACTTCTTTGAATATTGCTTCTGTTTTGCATAGTATTGTGAGATCAGCTGTTCAAATCTTCTTGTTTACATTGAGAAGATGGACTGACTGGTATGTTTTTTACAAAAATCTCTTATATGTTGCTGTTCAGAATATGCCTTCTTTTCATATTCAGTTGCATCATCTACAACAAATGCAGTACCATTGGTACTGAATCACATTGATGTGCTCAGCATGTGTTCACTTTTCATGGTTGCAATAAATTGGCCATATGCCTGTTCTCTCTATACTTTCATGGGGACATTTACCTGCTTGTTTTGCTCTGAAGTTCTTCTGCCACATTTTCATTAGATGATAAACAGTCAGCAGAATGGCCTGATCCCACTGGGTAAAATGTGCACCTTGTCTGCCAGAAGGTTCAACAATGAGAACTACTTTCATGTGCCTGAAATAATTATAGCTGGGGTTATTTATTGTTTGATGTTGCACACAAGCAATTGTTTGTGGCTACCCGCCCCCCAATTTTCCTATCTCATCAATTTATTATACTATCATTATATTATTGGCATTTTTTGGCTATGCAGTAGTGGCTATCTGTGTTCTGTTTAATTTAATTTACATCTATTTATTTGGGGCCTTCTCCTTCTCTCCTGTCAGAAAACTTGTAATATCATAAATACTGGATGATGATTAACACAATTTATAATGCATCTTGCAGGTTTTTCTTAATAAACAGCATCTGAATTATATACTGAGCTGAATTAAATAAAAATCTTCCAAAGCTCCTGAACAACTAGAAAACCCACATTTTCCTTAGCAAAAGTCAGTAGGACACTGCAGTCAATTCCAATACATGAGTTTCAGTCACATTTGCTTCATGCATATATTGTATCTTAGAATGTATTCTTAAAATACCTTATTGGGCTGGGCTGGGCTGGGCTTCATCTTCAAAGGAAAAAAAAATTTCATGAGCACAGAGCCTCCAAACCCAAATGCTGCATATAACCATAATACTTAGGGGTGGGGAGAAAGTCATGTAGGGTCAACTGATAGGCCTCTAAAAGATTTGTAGGAAAAGAGTGAAGCTGTCTCACTCCCAGCTGTTTGACATATACCAATAATAAAGTGACATTATGTCTTGTCCTTAATTATAGTGCTGAAACCAGGAAAGCTTCATAATAAACCAAAGTGAACATTTGTGGAGAAGAACTGAATTCTATTCACTTCTCATAATTCAGATCTAATGTCCAGTTCTTGGACTCACCCTAGTCATTTCATTCTAACTGAATGTCTTCTGCATTTGTCTCCAGATGATGCGTTTTAGCCTTCTTATGAAAACAAAGATGGGCAATTGTGAAGTCTGCCCTTCCCTGAAGGATACCTGTTGAAACCAATGAAGTTTAACTTAGTCATTTTGGGCCCAATTAATTCCAGTGGAACTACTCCAGATATGATTACTAATTTAGTGTTGTTATTCATCCATGCTTACATTAGAATTTTAATTAAATATGAACTGTGTGGATGCTTTCTACAAAATCAGCAACTCTCCTTTTAATCAAGGTTTCTGGTACTGTTCTGAGATCTAAACAGAGATAATTATGTCTGTATATACGTGTGTGTGGGCATAGACTTACATGTATACACAGATTTGTAAGGTTAGTTTTCATTTTAATCTTTTCTTTCTCTTAAAATTTAAAGCACTTGACCATTTTGTTGTTTGATGGATTAGTGCTTTTAAAGAAAGAAATATCATCCACAACATAGATACATACATACGTACGTACGTACATTTATTTATTTATTTATTTATTTCTCCAAGGGGTGGAGGGGGGAGGAGAAAAACCCATCTTATATATGAAGTGGCTAAAGAATAGAAGCCTCTGTTTCATAATATACAGTGATCATCACTAGAGATATACAACTGCTTTATATTATGTAAATTATTCTGCAGTCAAGTGGGGTCTCTCTAGATAATTATCCAGGAATGTTTCAAATGATGGCATATGTAACAAAGCATTGCATGGAGTGGGATAAATCTTTGTAATTTTCCAGTTACGCTTGAAGAAGCCTACATCAGTCACCTATATGCAGGCTACTAAATACCACATTCCCATGGGCCATGGGGGGAATGCAGTCGTGAATTTCATTGAAAAAGGAAAGAGTGCGGAAAAGATTTTGCTATAGACAGACACCATAGCAATCAGGAGCTTGAAGAACAGGAAGGCTTGCGTGCAGTGAATACAAAACCTTTGACCTATAAAACCTGAAAAAACTGGGTGGGGGATTTTATTATACAAGAATTGCTGATTCTGATAGGAGATTGCTTTTTTCTTGAATTCTTCTTAGGGTATGAGTCAAAATATTTCTGTGATAAGAGACCAATTGTTTCCTAGTTGTGGCTTCTTGGTTATGGGATATATTTTCTACTCCATATGGTTGGTATCTTTATTGATACTGTTCATGGCTATCTATGCAGATTTTGAAAAAAAACTGAAGATATTTTAACTATGGTACCTGATCTCTCCGGGCTGAATAAGGAGATGCTCAAATGTCCGTGAATCCATCTTCCTCCAATCTTGACATAACATGGTTCTTGCTAGCAGATAGACATATGTTTACGCTTGAATAAATGCACATAGAAACAATATTCAGATCTTGATCAATGAGGCAATTTGGGAACAGCATGTAAGATTGACCTGTGCTTAGAACAGCCAGTGAAAAATCCAACTAATATTCTAAAGCATTTTGTTGTGTATATTCACTGTTAGCCACAGTGAATATACACAAGATATATAGATGGCATCTTCTGTGAAAGCTCTCTAGTCTTGCACTACTGTATAGTATCTTGAAAATAATGTAAAATTAATATGGAGAATATGTGGCCCTTCAGATGTTGGTGCTATCAACAACTACCAATGTTCTCCACCATTGACATGTTTTTTGGTTAAAACCATTGTGAGTTCTAGGTCAGCTATAACTGGAAAACTGAAGACTTGTACCCATCCACTCACATCCAACCTGTGTGTCTTCTGTCTGACCCTCACCTTGCAAGTTGTATATTCTTGCCTGGTAATAAACAAAGTGATAGTGTTAATGGAAACAGACCTTTTGTTGGGTCAATTTGTGGGGCTGATTGGGATTTTCAAAAATTGATAGTAGAAGAATTTTTATTGCTGACAAGTTTATTCAAAAGGTGAAGCTTATTGAATACAAATTGAAGGAACTGAAGTACTGATATTCCCAAAAGGCTATTTCTGCACAAAATTGAATTTGGGGGAGGGGGTATTTTTCCACATCTTACAATCCACCGTTATCTATTATGATTAATGGGTTGATGTATTGTATTTTTAATTCTTTTTAAGCTAAGCTTAAAATGTTTTCCATTTTGTTTAAGCATCTGATAGCAGTTGGCCTATCTAATCCGTGTCATCCATAAATCTTCATAAAATAACCATTACCTTTTAAATTACTTATGTCATACCATTATCTCCATTGATGAAATTTTAAATGTAAGATGGTGACGGATGATCTGCTAAAAGTGGCCTCTAAAGTAATAGTGCCAGATTCTTGTGGTTTATGATAGCAGAACGGTTGTTAATATTTAATTCCTACTGTTCTCTATTTTAGCCCATCTCTGCCTGCCTTGGATTGGCAGTTGCCATCTCACTCAGGACCTTATGAACTTCGGATTGAAGTGCAGCCGAAGTCCCATCACCGAGCCCATTATGAGACGGAAGGCAGTCGAGGAGCTGTCAAGGCGTCTGCTGGGGGACATCCAGTGGTGCAGGTAATAGCATTATTCTTGGCAGCATGTGTATTTCTTTTAAAGCCAACATCCTTAATAAGGCAAGTAAAATGACCTTATATTGAATGTAAGTATGTACTCTGTTTTGGTCGATGGAAAAAGGCTTATTTATTTGACCAAGGGCTGCAGAGGCCTGAATGTGCTCGATGGGTATTTCGTACTTTATGGCTCCTGGAATTCTTCAGCATAGGTATTATATGAAAGGCCTAACTATATATGACCAACCTCTATGGTGCCAGTTCAGTGCAGAATCTGCTGTTTCCTTGTTGTATGTTGAATACTCACCTCTAATGATCTAAGTGCTAGAGCCCACTGCAACTACATAGCCAAAAAGGCATTAAGAGTTGTTAACCTAATCCTAGGTAGCTTTTTCTCTGGTAATATCACACTACTAACCAGAGCATACAAAACATTTGCTAGACCAATACTCGAATACAGTTCATCAGTCTGGAACCCACATTACGTATCTGATATTAGCACAATTGAGAAAGTCCAGAAATATTTCACAAGAAGAGTTCTTCACTCCTCTACTTGTTGTAGAATACCTTATGCCACCAGACTTGAAATTCTAGAACTAGAAAACCTTGAATTACGCCGTCTTCGGTCTGACTTAAGCATGGTATATAAAATCATACATTGCAATGTCCTACCTGTCAATGAATACTTCAGCTTCAACCATAACAACACAAGAGCACACAATAGATACAAACTCAAAGTTAACCGCACCAAACTTGATTGCAGGAAATACGACTTCAGCAATAGAGTGGTCAATGTCTGGAATACTCTACCCGACTCTGTAGTTTCTTCCCCAAACCCCAAAAACTTTAACCTTAGACTGTCTACTATTGACCTCACCCCTTTCCTAAGAGGTCTGTAGGGGGCGTGCATAAGCGCACCAACGTGCCTACCGTCCCTGTCCTATTGTTTCTCTTATTCTTCTTTTATTTTTCTTATATGTACCCATTTCATGTATTCACAACTATGTATACACTTATACTTATTATCTTGTAAACAATTGGCAAATCAAATAAATCAAATAAATAAAAATAAATAAATAAATAGAACTAGCCTGCTATTTAAAGTGAATGAACGGTATTGTTATGGAGGAGGTGAGTTTTCATCTGAGGCTTGGGGTAAGTAGCCAAGGGACTCATCACACCTTATAATTCAATGCAAGTAAACTAGTTAATTAAGTAGTACCCTTTTCATTATGATGATATGCAGAAACATTCCCAGCAAAAACACTGTGATGCTTGCATATTGGATGTTTAAGAAATCCAAAGCCAGATATGTATCCCTAACTGATTATTAGGGGTTGTATATCTGGTATAAAAGTTCCACTGTAATGAGCTATTACTTCAGATCAACCCATTTGCTGGCTTTAATCCAAAATTTAATGGCCCCAAAAAGCAAACATAAAATGCATTGACCTATCAATGTTAATTTTATTCATCCACGGCTTCATATGTTTGTTTATTGTCATAGCGAATAACCCAAGATGAACTACAAAGTAAAATGTCAGGCTAGAAACCAGGAGAATCTATCTTAGGCATGAAAGACCAGCTGAGTGACTTTGGGCCAGTCAGGCTTCCTCAACCCAACTTGCCTTACAGGGTTGTTGTTATGGGGAAAAGGAAGGGGGATGAAAGAATATTAGGTATATTCACAGCCTAATTTTTAAAAAAAACAATAAAGGTGGGATACATGTAAATATAAACAAACAAATAAATAAACAGAGGCAGAGTTCTTTATATTAGATTCCCTCATATTCTTAACGGTAGATTCATTTCTGCCTGGTTCACACACCATTGTACACATTTGGATACATTCTCCATTGTACACATTTGGATACATTCTTTTGCATATGTGCTATTTGCAAGTGATACTCTTCTGATAAATATTGTACCTATTGAAGTACGTGCATGTTTAATTACAATATTTTCTGTATACAGATTTCTGTATCCATGATTTGAATTGCAAAGCACAATATTGAACACACACTTTTGAAAAGTACTTATTTCTCTATATAAATGCATTTTGGCTCCTTGTAAGGCGTAAAGGTAGGAGTTGTAGCAGATCATAAAAAACAGAATTGAACAAAAAAAATTGCATCCATCCCATCCATTCTATGGTGATATCCTCGTGATAGAATTTCCTCCTCATAAATATCCATTGGATATTGATTTCATTATACTTTGGTATAAATATAATTTATTATTTTTGCTTCCTTTGGTTTTTGAACATTGCTATTGTTTGTGTGAGTTTGAAAGCTTTGTCATCTGAAAGCAATTGAAAATTCTAAATTCAAGGGAGACATCTAGCAAAAATTGAGCCAGTCAGTTTGATTTTACTAATTTTACTGTGTACTAAAAGTACTTTAGCATGAAGTACTCTTAGCATGGTTCATTGTTAGAACTGCTTCTCTACCTGTCTCATGCTATTGCTTCTTTATTTTACACATGATATTTAAAGTGAAATTTATACATTGCACTTGTTCCTTAGGATATATGTTGCTAGCTGCCTAGTGTGAGGAAATATACTGTAGATGGGAGGTGTGAATTCACAATAGCCAATTTGACATTTAAAATTTCCACTCAGTGATTGGAAAAAAACAAAATGCAGTGCCAACATTTAATTGAGTTTAATGTATCCAGGAACCACCCCCCTCTCCACAATCTCTTTCTACCGTGTATGGAAATAAAATAAAATATGATGCATGTTGTATTTAGATAGAATTGTGGAAAAGAAAAAAGGGAAATGTTGGAAGGAAAAAAGGAAAGTAAATTCCTGATCAGTGGAATGATGCAGAACTTCCTCCTGTTTTTCATTCCGAGCAACAGATGATGTGCTTGTTCTGTGTGAAATATAACAGGATTTTGAAGGGTGCCCCTCCCCACCTGCCCCTCGTACTACCTGCCTATATGGCAGGCCTGTCCTCTACTAATGAATACAGGTAGTCCTCAACTTACGACCACAATTGAGCCCAAAATTTATATTGTTAAGTGAGACATTTGTTAAGTGAGTTTTGCCCCAGTTGTTAAGTGAATCACTGTAGTTGGTAAGTTAGTAACCCATTGTTAAGTAGAATCTAGCTTCTCCATTGACTTTGTTTGTCAGAAGGTCACAAAAAGTGATCACATGATTTTGGGACACTGCATTTGTCATAACTGTGGGAAACTGTCATAAGGCACATTTTTCAGTGTCGTTGTAACTTTGATCGCTCACTAAACAAACAATTGTCAGTCAAGGACTACCTGTAGTATCTGAACATTCACACCTCTAGAGATATGCCAGGCCAGGGGTAACCCAGTTGGCACAACTTATATATAAAATTAAGCCCCTCAAGGAATACAAACATACAGACCTTGTAATGCATGCCACTATGGCATTTTCTGAAGGAAAAAAAAAAGGAAATCTATAAACTGTCAAAGAGCAAAATATCCCAGAAGAGGTGGTACCAAGACCGGGGCTGAAAGATCTTAGCAGAACACAACAAATACAGTGTTTTTCCTTCTGAAATATTATCAAAGTAGTCTGTAGAGTTTGAAAGAAACAAATTGGACAAAAAAAAATTCAGTCACAGCAGTGGTGATGATATCAAGCTCGCACAACCGGATTATAAGAAAAAAACAATCTAACCATGAAAATAGATCAGGGCTGTATCATCATGGGTAAAGCCTCAGAGTAAGTCTATGACCATTTTCTATGTTCATTTTATGAGTGAGTATTAAAAAAATCAGAAGTGTACTTTAACATAGGATTGGGGAGGCACTAAATATTACATCTGCTGTTAATACCCTCTCTTGTCTTGTCCCCTATTACAACAGTCCCCATTTGTTTCCCAGAGTTAATTTCTGTGTTGGTTCAATAGTGTTCAACCTAGAAATTATTTTCCTTCATCCTTCATCACTTCTTTTCAATGTATAGTAATAAAATTCTGAACATGTTCTGGCTGAGCATACTTGCCTAAATATCACCCTTCTAGGTGAAATACTAGGGATGTCCAATATTGTTGCTGCCATATCAGATGGTCACGGTATCATTATATTTACTTAGTGCACTAATTCTCACTTTGTTCTTCATTCAACTACTACTGAGAATCATTGTACTCCAGCAGCACTGTGATGACTATCACCTGTTTACATGGAGGCACCTTTGATACAATGTTCTTCAGAGTGAAAGTAGAAAAAGTCACCTACACATTTTTTGTAGTTTCATACTCCTACATGTTTGCTCTACACTTGTTTGAGTGGCTGCCATAGCAGCCTCCAATTATCACAGGGATTTCTAAATGCTTGAAGAGTGAGATGAGCTGACACACCTAGAAAGTGCTAAAAATGTTTGAGAAGAGTGGCTAATCAGAGGTGGTGGTTAATTGGCCTGGTGAGGTAATGCTTGGCAAAGTACTTTATGCCTTGTCCTATAAAGCAGTGTTACTAAACATAATCCTTTTCAGATATTCAGTTCTTTCCTCTGTGTTATTTCAAAAGAGGAAAAAGATCCTTCTGTTCTGGGAATTTAAGATTTGGGGTTTCAAATCCTGCCCTCCCACTAACATCCTGTGCGGCCTGAGGCGACTCATTTCACTTCTCTGTTGATACGAATGTAGAAAATATTTTCATGTTCATGTACTACGAGGTTTTGTCAGCACAAGAGCACTGAGGCTTTGTACACAGGAAACAGAAGAGGAAGGAAAGGTAATCAAGGGTTAGAGCCAAAAAAAATCTCTCAGTTCTTCAGTGCCTAAAGAAATTTGTTTCTCAATTTGTAGGCTCTTATTCTTAATATAACACATTGAATGGCATGTCCACAACATCTCGTATATAGAAAGGAAGGGAGAGCAAGTATTATGGGTAGCAAAGCTACTGAAATCTCCATATTTGTGGACCAACAAGAGTGTTGTTCTCATGCCAAAAGCCCCTAGGTCTTGACCAGGGGATCTCCAAACTTGACAACTTTAAGACTTGTGAACTTCAACTCCC